CCTACCCCCCAGGAAGTTCCCCGAAAACAGTGTTACTTTCATACATTTCTGTGGTTTATTGATTGTTTACTAAAGGGAAAGTTATATACTTTATATACTCTATGCTTTGACACTAAACTTAAGTTGTATTACTTTTTAGTTTTTTAAAATTTATATTGTTGTTTTCAGTATGTGTATTTTTCTTTTGGTTCTGTTTTCTTAACTACATTAATAAAAATCTTCCAATGTTTCTCTGAAATTATAATTTTTTTTTTTTTGCATCTAAATTTGGCCTACTTCAGCAAATGGATTTGAGGGCTCCTTGAGTTAAAAAGAATTGAAAAATAAACAGGAGACTATCAATTTCTCCTGATGATTTCAATTTCTACCCTTTCAAGTGAATTGGTAATCCAAGTGTCCAGACTAAAGTGGGATAAGGAGATCTGTGCATAAGGCTTATGTTTCCAGTGGAGATTTATTAAATATAATTTTTACAGCCAGTTAGAGCTGGGCTTTCAAATCTGCAGTTTCCCAGATTGTTGTGTTGTGGCATTTACAATGATGACTTCCCAACTTTCTTGCTTATATCAGAAAAGTTCCATCTCTGATATATATTAGAGATTGTTCCTAATTTTCATTATTTCCTGATTATTGTTGGGTATCAAAGCATTATCTGCCATTTTTGCTTTATCATCTCCGCTTTGGGATCTTTGAAGACAGTAATTCCTTGAGTGGTATGAGAATATGGGAGTAGAATGTTTATTGATTTACTCAAAGTTAGCTAACCAGATGTGTTTGTGTGTTTGTGTGTTTGTGTGTGTGTGTGTGTGTGTGTGTGTATGTAGGCATAGAATATATTTTCTAATATGTCTGTTGCTATTGAACCATCTGTGTCTAGATGGACACTTTATATGGTGTTATATTGGGCAAAGTGGAGGAGGTCTTCTTGGTTCATTTTGGAGGTCAAAGCAAAATGCAAGGGACAGTTAACGCAGTATACATGCCAGTTATCTGGCAGGTGCCAGGAGAATGACCTTAGGTTATTTTCTCAAATGAGGAATCAGCAGCTTTATAGAAGTTCTTATGTACCTTCCTCCCTCCACTCTGGGATTCTGCATGTGAAATGATAATTCATATTCTGTATGAGAAGAGAAATAAACTTCTCATACACAAAGACTGTAAAAAGGGGATAAAGGTCTTATTAATATATAGATAACTCTATGTATATTTGCATAAATATACATATATATGAGTTATGCTTGTATATGAATATAATAAAGATATATGTTAATTTATTCATTAATATAAGAAAGAGGTATGAAATTATAGAGGGAAAATGATATGGAAAGTATTGCACGAGTTGAAGTTTTGTTGGTTTTGCCACACTAGCACAGTCATATTCATTTACATGGATATACCCGTTTGTTCAGGCATTTCTTAATCTTAGATACATCTGCCCCTTGTGAATAATAGTGCTTTGAATATATATTATATATCGCAAATATGTGTGTGTGTATATATGTGCCATTTAAAATACTGTACTTACAATACTATATTGTAACATACATCTATTTATTAAAATAAAGTTTTGTGACAAAATTACAATGTAGTATAATTTTAAATGTCACAACAAAATATTTAGAATAGTATGTCAAAAGTGGGGGCCATTTTACATTCAGATTTGTTAATTTTGGAGTATTGTTTATGATATAAAAGTTTTCTGCCACTGAAATTCTGTTTGAACATATTTGGTTCCAAGCTTTATTTGTCTGTCCGACGTCTGTCCATCTATCGTCTATCTATCGTCTATCTATCTATGTATCTGTCTAAGAATCTTAGAGTATCTATGGGTTCTACCTCCTTGGGATAATAAAATGCATATTGGAATGTCTGGGTGAAAGGTAATAAAACAAATTACTAACTTCTTATTTAATTTATTTCATAGCTTTCAGCAAGGGGTTACTGTGTCTGTCTTCCCACAGCCCCTCTGACATTGTATTCATGATAGCTGTGTTTAAATTTTTGAAATACGTTCATGTGGAAGAGGGATTAAATGTGTCCTGATCAGTCCTAGAAGGCAGACTTAGGACCAAGGTTTAGTAGTAACAAGGAAGCAGATTTCTTTTCTATCTGAGAAGGATTATGAGGTCTTCATGTAGAGAATGATCACTTGTTGGAAGGTAATGGAGATATGATTTATTTGGGGGGTAGGAATTGTATTAGATGACCCTTTTGATGTTTTCCAACTCTGCAATTCTGTGATTCTTAATAAATTTTATGGTTAGTCAGCTAATAAATAGGGAAATAAGGCACCTTTTAAATACATCGTAATTTCCCAATTTGGACATAACGATCTGTTGATATTTAGGATGTATGAATGGTTTTGTTTTGATCATTTCAACTTTTAGCAATAGAAAAAGAAAGACCAAAATTGCCCAATTTCTCTTTCAGATTTGCATTTAGGATTTCTCAAATGCCATTTGTTTAAATACAATACTGTATTGTGACAAATACATCTATTGAAATAAAACTTTGTGACAAAAATTACAGTAGAGTACAATTTTAACATTTATAGCAAAATGTTTGGAATAGTATCTAGAAATTGGAGACCATTTTACATTCAGATTTGTTAATTTTAGAGTGTTGTTTTAGATGTAAAAGTTTATCTACCACTGAAATTCTGTTTGAATATGTTCAGTTGCAAGCTTCCTTTGTGTACTAATAACTTTAGGATCATAATTTTTTTGTTTATAGTTAAATTTTGGTGAACATGCTAATGTATAATATGCTAGTGAGTGGTTGCTTGTGTCAAATAGCAGTATAGGTTGATATGTGCCTTTGAATTTCCTCAGTTTATATACTCTGAGGAAGAAAAGAAGTGGTCAGTTTAAATAGTAAAATAAATTAGTTTTATATTAGAAATCTTGAATTATATCACTAACATAAGTAGATTTGATTTAAACAAAAACAAATCACAAAAGATGCAGTTTAATAACTGTATTTTAAAACAGCACATCCTTTAACATGAATTTTATAACTACAGGGATAATAAATTTGATTTTTTTCAAGACATATATATATATATATATATATATATATATATTTGAAACATTTTAAAGCAATGTCTTTTTTTTTTTTAAACTTTTCCAAAGTTTGCAGGTCCATACTGTTTATGGACCAGGAGTCAGGAGATTTTCTTTCTAATGTTACCCCTCTTATGATCTATCTTTATGGTGTTAGGTACAGTTTTCAGTTTCCACAACAGTAAAATGAGGGAATTGAATTAGATTACTTCTAATTCCACTGGCATAGTTGAGGACCCTGGGCCACCTCACATATTAGTGAAGCAATAGGGTAAAACTTTTGTGAAGTAAAGATAACATAAAGTCATAGAACTAGAGCTGTCTGGATGTCACAGTTCCTCTAGTTCCAATCCCTTCATTTTATAGGTGAGAAAACAGGATCATATGGGTTTAATGACTTTCCCAAAGTCACACAGGTAAGCATCATAGATGGAATGTGAATCCAGGTGACCTTCACCCTAGGCAGTACTCTTTCCATTATATGATTAGGAATGGTATTGGGATCATCACAGGAGTGAAGACTGAACACTTGAGTTGAATTTGTTACTGTGGGAAGGGAATAAATAATAAGCACCTTCTGTGTTCCAGGCATTGTACTAAGTGCTTTCCAAATATTTTCTCATTTGATCCTCACAACCTTGTTTAGTAGGCAGTATTATGATCCTCATTTCATAGTTGAAAACAGTGAGGCAGACAGGTTAAGTAACTTACCGGTGATCACACAACTAGTAAGTGACTTGAGGCTGGATTTGAACTTGGGTCTTCCTCACTTCAGGCCCAGTGCTCTATTGACTGTCACCTAGCTACCTTGGAATATTAAAAGACCTACAGAAGGCTTCAACCACATTGGATAGATTTTTTTTAGTGAGAATTTGTGGGAGGACATGAATTTATCCAGAATGAGAAAGTGTTGCTAGATTGTGGTCTTACACCTTCAAGTCTTTTGCACTTTTTGCACAAGTGTATTATAGCATATACTGAGTATGAAATGAGTCATATGATAAATTTAGGAACTCAGGGGAAACAGCAAAGACAGAAGGGACTGTATAGGCCATTGAGAAAGCAGGGCTTAATGAAGGAGGAGCAGCTTCAGATAAGTCTTGAAAGAATTGTAGGACATAGTTAAATAGTAGTGGGGAAGGTATTTTAGCAGGTGTGAGGTGGTGAAGACCTGAACTAGAATCACTCAATATTAAGAGTTGGAAGAGATTGTAGGATTATAAATTTGTGTTTAGAAGGAACCTCAGAGGCCATATTATGTAACTCTCTAATTTTATAGGTGAGGAAACTGAAGCTTAAAGAAGTTATGGTTAGTCCAAGGTCACATAGGTAGTAAGTGGCAGAGTTGGGATTTGACTCCATATTTTTTGACTCTTACATTCCTATATTTTCTACTATACCACAGTGTCACCTAAGGCACTCTTGTCACCCAACCTAAGACTCCTTTCCTCAAGATCCCTGACATTCATTAAACTTCTCTGCCTTCTTTATGCTAAACATTTCCAGTTCTTTAAACTTTTCTATGTAACATAATTTTGAAATCTCTTACCATCTTAGTTGCCCCTCTCTGTATGTACTTGAGTCTGGCAGTTTCTTACTTAAATTTTGTTACCCAGAATTGAATCCAGTATTTTAGTTTGATCTGTTTCAGAGTATAATGGTATTATTGTTTACTTTCATATCTACAGTACACTTATATTAATGTGCCACAAGAGATTGTTAACTTTTTAGCAGGTCACATTTTTTGTTTGTGTTGAACTTATTAACAACCAAACATGGGTAATGGAAATGAGACTAGAAAGGTGAGTCAGATTTGAGAAATGTTATGTAGGAAGAATTGGTAGCATGTAGAGATTATTAGGTATGGGAAGAGTAAGAAGAATCAATTATGACCTCAGGATTTTGAACCTGTGGGATTGGCAGAATGGCAGTATCACTGTCAGAAATAGCTAAGTATGAAGGAAAGAGATTGTTTGGGGTCAAGGGAGAGAAGAAGAGTTTGCTTTTAGGCAATTTAAGTTTGAAGTTATGGACATTCAGGATAGAGGTAAGAGAAGAAGAAATTTGAGAATGATCAGAATGTGTCCTGGTAACAGACTGAATCTGCTTTTGAGGATTAGCTTAGCAGAATTCAAAGAGGCTCATCACCATTGGCCCCACGTCATGAAAACAGAAAAATAGAAAATGGCATGAAAAGGAAGAGTATTGTGTTATATGTCCAGTTTAGAAGGACTTTAAATAACAGAGGATTCTATCTGATTCTAAAGATTATGGACTACTGAAGTTTATTGAGAAGGGGGACTGGAGTTCCGTGGTCTGAATTGTCCTTTAGGAAAATCAGTCTGGTAACTATATGGAGGAAGCTTTGGAGTGGGGAGAGACTTAAGACAGGGCTGCCTTGACGAGGCTGTTGCAAGGGGTGATGAGGGCCTGAGCTCTTGGAGTGACTGTGGGTGGAGGGAAAAAGTCACATTTGGAAGGGATGTACAAGTAGGAATGACAAGATTTGGCAACTTATGATATGTGTGGGATGAATGAGACTGAATAATCAGGTATCACAGAGGTTGTAAACCTGGGAGCCTGAAAATATATTGGTGCTGTCAACAGAAATAGGGATGAAGATAATAATAGATCTTTTGCCTATTGGATATTTTTACTAGGAATATTTTTAGTAAAAGCTCATTGAAAGAAAATCTTTTTTTTTCTGCCTGTTGTAAGTAATAACATCACAAGTATATATGAGGGATAGGAACTATTGATTTCGAATGTCAGTATCAACTTGAGATAGACCTGTGATGTTACTGATGCTGATATAACTCATTTATACACATGTATACCTCTTTGTAGTAACCCATTTAATGATACTATGAAGCTCTTGTCCATATCATCCCATAAGTCTTCTGTGGAGGGAGGGAGTTCCAAACAGTGGTGCTGGGGCCTTCGTCTAAATCTTTTGATGTTATGTGGGTACTTAGGGAACATATTGGCTGTACCTTAGTTATCCTGTATTGTCCCTACCTTATTGGCTCACTTTTATTTCCCCAGCTTTACGCTTTGCTGATAATTTAATTGCAGTTTTTTTGTTGGGTATATATGCTGGAGCTAGTTTGTGACCAAATGTGCCTCTCCATTGCTCATTAGGTGGCCTGCAACTTTAATTCTTTGGAAACTGTGGCATTATATGACTTGTCACCACTATACAGCACCACTGGAAGAATATTGTTATTTAAAAGATGAGTCCTTTGCTTCAGGGAGAAGTTTGAGGTCATTAATAGCATCATTCAATTTCCCAAATATAATTCAGCCCATTCTCTTCCTTCTTCTGTTTGGTTTTTCACTTAGCTCATTGTCTGTAGGTAGTTTTTCTGTAAGATATATGTATTGATCCAACTTCATGTCATAGTCTGGATGATAGGTATTCTTCATCCACTTGACTTTTCTGTTTGGATGGTTAGGCCAAATTCTTTTAAGTGATTATGGTACTCATTTAGGAGACTGCAATATTCCAGGGCTTGAAGCTCTCAGCCCTATGTTATCTGCAGACAGGAGAACCTAGAAAACCTTACTATCTATATACCTCTTCCATTTGCATAGTATTCCATATATCCTCCATGACTGATACAGTCACTGTTGGCAAGCATGTTTTTTACCTCATTTGATATTAAGAAGATTGAATAGTATTATCTGTTACATCTTTCAAGGAATCTTATGATACATGTACACACACATGTTTGTGTGTATATGTGTGAAGTACTCCACATATTCTCTCTCTACATATTTCCTGCCCCTTCTGCACCCTTTTCTCTCTTTATTTTCTCTTTGGGGATACTGATTTCCCCATCCCTGGAGGTCATTAAGTAGAAGCTGAATAATTCTCAGGGAAATTGTAAAGGGGATTAATTCTCAAGAATGTATAGAACTAGATGTCCTTTAGGACTCATTTCAACTTTATGTTTCTGACAGTTAAGTCTAATTGCCTTTGTTTTGGTTTTGAGTGTGGAGGGAGTCCTCAGGGGCTAAGAATTGCATTAACCCAGCGGAAGATTTCCTGAGGGGGAATTCTGGAAATAGATCTGAGCTTAGAGTTATGACAGCAGACTGGAAGATTCTGTTCTAGAATCCCCCCCAGAGTCAGAGGAGTCCAGAGGAGGAACCCAGAATAATAAGATAATTATGAATTTAAGAGATGGAAGGGACATTTAGAAGTCATCTAGTACAAACTCTTCAATTTATAGATGAAGAAACTGAGGTCGAGAGAACTTAGGTGACCTGCTCAAGATCACACAGCTAGTTGGCATCTGACTCCAGATCATTTGACTCCAAATCTAGTGATCATGATCTGGGGACAGAATTGGCATAGAAAGTGCAGAATTAGCAGTTATTTTGAGAGTGGATATCAATGAAAATAAGGGGTCAAGGGTCATGAGAGAGGGTAGGGCACATGCATAGGATGTTTTAGGACTATAGATTTAGAGCTAGAAAGGGAATTTAAGAGTTAAAAACATCTGCATAGATTGTCACAGGATTGCAGAATCACAGATTTGCAGCTACAAAGTGACCTGGGAGGTTATACGGTCCAACCCTGACATTTTATAGATGAGGAAATTGAGGTCTAAAGAATTATGTGAATGATAGTGTCCATATTTCATCCAGAATCCTCTGACTCTAAATCCATTGCTTTTCCTATTGAATCACTTGGGGATTGGCAGCCTTTAACAAATAGGGTGTTTCTCTTTCTGGTGTTTCAGAGATTCAGATGCTGATTTTCATGAGGGATAAATGTTGATATGATGATCCTTGAAGTGCTGTGATGGTGCTGGTGGTGTTACACCCAGGGCTGTTTTCAAGTGGCGTGTGTGTGTGTTTGTGTGTGTGTGCATGTGCACGTGCATACATGTATGCATGTGAGTATGTGCATTTGTGCATATGTATATGCATGGCAGGATTGAAGGCTGAATGAATGAAATTCTAATCCTGAAGTTTTGGGAACTGATCTTAAGAAGTTGAGGAGAGGCAGAGCCAAGATGGCAGAGTGAAAGCAGTAACTTGCTTGAGCTCTCCCCCATACCCCTCCAAATACTCACAACAAATGGCTCTAAACAAATTCTGAAGCAGCAGAACCTACAAAAAGACAGAGTGAAACAAATTTCCAGCCCAAGACAACCTGGATGATTGATCAGATAGGTGTATGGTGCCGGGCTGGGAGTGGAGCTCAGCACGGCGCCGCAGCAAACCTCTAGCAGGCCTCAGAGGACTCAATTGGGGGGCAGCTGTGGAGGTTTCCAGACTTCTCAATCCACGAATGCCAAAGACAACTTAGAAGGTCAGTGGGAAAAGTCTGTTTCTACGGTGCTGAGACAGGAAGGTGGGGTCTCAGCTCCATTCCCCAAGAGCGTGGCCCTGGGTGGGGCAGCTGCTTCCCGAGCTTCTGGCCCACAGACTGAGGGGGAATCCAGTGGCTAATCAGAGAGGGACTGCAGGGATCTCTTTGCCAGTGCTGAGGCAGGAATCTCTTGCTTTGCCCGTGTGTGGATCTGGGTCACAGTTCTGGGTGACAGTGCTGGGGTGACGAGGAATGCTGGAGTGGTGGAGCTTGTAGTGGCTATGGAGAGGAGCCCCTCCTCACAGTTACAGGACAGAAAGGAATACTTGTGGTCACAGGCCAGGAAAGGAGTAAACACCTCGCCCCTTGTCATACCACCTTGGAAGAACTGAAAATTTACAGGTCCCTACAAGTATTTCTGAAAACAGCTGTACAAACCCCCGAAGCTTGGGACAGTACATTCTCCACATTGGAAGCAGACTCTTACCTTAACAAAGAGTTTAAAACTCAAGTAATTGGCTGGGATCATGAGCAAGCAGCACAAAAAGAGTCAGACTATATTATCTTACTTTGGTGAAAAAGAAGATCAAAATATACAACCAGAAGAAGACAACAAAGTCAAAGCTCCTACATCCAAAGCCTCCAAGAAAAATATGAATCAGTCCCAGGCCTTGGAAGAGCTCAAAAGGGATTTTGAGAAGCAAGTAAGGGAAGTAGAGGAAAAACTGGGAAGAGAAATGAGAGTGATGCAAGAAAATCATGAAAAACAAGTCAACAGCTTGCTAAAGGAGACCCAAAAAAATACTGAAGAAAATAACACTTTAAAAAATAGCCTAACCCAAATGGCAAAAGAGGTCCAAAAAGCCAATGAGGAAAAATGCCCTAAAAAGAAAAATTGGCCAAATGGAAAAGGAAGTCCAAAAGATTACTGAAAAAATACTTCCTTAAAAATTAGAATAGAGCAGTTGGAAGCTAGTGACTTTATGAGAAGTCAAGACACTGTAAAACAAATCCAAAAGAATGAAAAATCAGAAAACAATGTGAAATATCTCATTGGAAAAACAACTGACCTGGAAAATAGATCCATGAGAGAGAATTTAAAAATTATTGGACTATCTGAAAGCCATGATCAAAAAAAGAGTCTAGACATCATCTTTCAAGAAATTATCAAGGAAAACTGCCCTGATGGTATTAGAACCAGAGGGCAAAATAGAAATTGAAAGAATCCACAGATCTCCTCCTGAAAGAGATCCCCAAAGGAAAACTCCTAGGAATATTATAGCCAAATTCCAGAGTTCCCAGGTCAAGGAGAAAATATTACAAGCTGCCAGAAGGAAACAGTTCAAGTACTGTGGAAACACAATCAGTATAACACAAGATTTAGCAACTTCTACATTAAAGGACCTTGGGGCATGGAATATAATATTCCAGAGGGCAAAGGAGATAGGATTACAACCAAGAGTCACCTACCCAGCAAAACTTGAGTATAATCCTTCAGGGGAAAATGGTCATTCAGTGATATAGAGGACTTTCAGAAGAAAAAAAAAAAGAAAAAAAAAAGTTGAGGGCATGGCCATGGAATAGGTACAGATGAATCAGGGTTGGATGAGGGTCAACTATGTGTTGAACACAGAACTGAGCATATTCAGTAATAAAAAAAGATAACTGGAACTTATCTACTCTCAGTAATCGTTTCAAAGGTGACAGTGACTTTGTTACTGGACATATTCTTTGACAAACACACCCCTTTCCTAGTTTTTATATTATGCTGATTGTTACTTTTAAAAGCACCAGTGATTTAAATATTCAGCAGAGTGACAAGAGACGACAGTCATTCTTTAGGACTATTTTAGGAAAGAAATAAAGTTGTTCCAAACCATCATTAATCACAACAATCAATTTCAATTATCTGGCTACATGACGAAAACTGAAAACAAAGACAAACAGCTTAATTTAGAGAAGAAAAATTTATAGTTAAAAAACATAGGGCTTATGTTGTAGACCAGAAATTGAGTAGAAAATTAGAATTGTTTCATATAAAACTCAAGTATTCCTGTCATTCCTTTGGCAGGAAATTCCAGAAAAATACAAAAGATATTCTAATCACTTTGCTGAGTTCTAGAGAAGACAAAAAACATTTTAAAGTAATTTGAAAATGCCTTAACTTACAATGAATTCCTATTAGTCAGTCAGGAGAGTGATTCTTGAAAATTTGATGAGGTAGTGCAGCATAGGACATAAATGTATCAACTTCGATATATGAAATCTGTATTTTATTTTAAGGTAAACTATTACATTGTTTTGAAGTATTTGGTTTAAAAGCTATTTAACATTTTCTGAGTGTTGAACCTCCCATTCCTGTTTGGAAATGTAAGATCAGCATAGGGACCGGACCTATGATTTCACTAGAATAACAGGAACTCATTGGTAAGGAAACTCTTCTACCAGTGCAGACCAACACCTTCTCTGCCATTAAAAATCTTAGAGAATTGCTTGTAGTACTGAATGGTTGAGTGACTCACCCAATGTCATACCACCAATATGTACAAGTGAATGTGAATAGAAAATGATAGTGTACTAGAAGAAATGGATTTTATGAATAAAGAGAAACATGGAAAGACTTACCTGAAATGATGCAAAGTAAGCAAAGCTAGAAAAACTTTATGTACAATCACTATAACAATGTAAATGGAAAGAACAACAGTAAACAACTGAAAATTGTTACAAAATTGCAAACAAGCTTGGCCCCCAAAAAGAGGCTAAGACATCTAACCCCAACTTCTTTGCGGAGGTGAACACTGCATATAATGTTACATTCTTTTTTTTTTTGATTGGTTTGCTAAATTTTCTCATCTTTTTAATCTTTTCTTCATTTTTAAAATTCTTTTTTTTTTTTTAAAGAAATGACCTTCTGGGATAGGGAAGTGGGGAGATGGAGGGATGCAGAACGAAATGTAGGCAATGGGAAAAAGAAGGGATACAAAAAATTTTTAAAGATAATCAGTACAAAAAAAATTTTTAAAAGGAAGTTTAACAAAATTATGTTGTAGACGGTACCTAAAGTGGTTATTTGATGAAAAATAAATTTTTAAGAGATTAGGCAATTCAAGTTACTTCACTAATATGTCTGTTCTATTTTTTAAGGGAAATATAATCATTTGCATTTATTTTAGATGTTTCTCTTTCACTAAAAATAAAAAATAAAAACACATGAAGACACACAACATGCTGGTCCCATTGGATGTATATTACTTTTTAATTATTCTGTAACAGCAATATTGCTATAGCTGCAGTGCATTAATATTTTCCTTTATTAACATTCAAAAGTTTATAGCATAGAACTTTTCAAAATAGAGGTAAAATACCTTATTATAATTTCTCTCTAATAATTTTCTTTTAAAATTTGAGTTACGTTTGTCATGAGAGGTAGTGTTACATAGTAGAGTGCTGACCTCAAAACCAGGGAGATCTTGGTTCAAATGACACCTTTCATATACGTAAATATTTTTTACTGATATCTTAAAAAACTTTTTATATCCTTTATTTTTTGCAATGATTGCATTTCCTTTTGCAATTCTGCATATTTCTGCTTTCCATTCCAGAAATCCATCTCTTTTTTTAATTAATTTTTTAAATTAAAAAATTTTTTTTGAAGTCCATCTCTTTTAAAAAAGAATTTAAAAAACAAAGTGAAAAAAAGGTTGAGAAAACAATTTAGCAAAATCTATCAAACAGAAAAATATCTGACATTTTTATTTTTGGTTTCAATCATCTCTTTAGTTCCTGAACTGAAGCTTTGTGTCACAGCTAGGTTCCACCCCTATTGCACTTTTGGGTGGGTTGGTAGGCTTTTCTTTTCTTTTCTTTTCTTTTCTTTCCTTTCCTTTCCTTTCCTTTCCTTTCCTTTTCTTTTCTTTTCTTTTCTTTTCTTTTCTTTTCTTTTCTTTTCTTTTCTTTTCTTTTCTTCTCTTCTCTTCTCTTCTCTTCTCTTCTCTTCTCTTCTCTTCTCTTCTCTTCTCTTCTCTTCTCTTCTCTTCTCTTCTCTTCTCTTTCTTTTCTTTTCTTTTCTCTTCTTTTGGGCTAGGCAATGGGGTTAAGTGACTTGCCCAGGGTAACACAGCTAGTGTCAAGTATCTGAGGTCAAATTTGAACTCAGGTCCTTCTGACTCCAGGGTCCATGCTCTATCCACTGTGCCACCTTGCTGCCCCTGTTAAGCATTTCTTGGTCTCACTCAGTCTCCTTGATGCTAGTACTGACCTTGACCTCTCAGAATTTGACTCCCCAGCCTCCAGCCTAGATCTTTAGATCTTTGCTATTCATAGTACTGAATCTTTATGACTCTCTGGCATCTCAGCATAGAATATTAGGGGTATCAAGAGGCTTGAGTTGTTACAATCATACTAAGGCACCAAGCTACTTGCTGTTATTCCCAGAAACTGGTATTTTCTTCCTCTACTCTTGTTGTCTCAGGATAAAGAATCTTCTATGCTATACATGTCTTACCTCTGGTCATATTGTTCCTTGATGTGATTGCAAGGACCCCTTTTCATATTGTCTGTGGACTTTGGCCTGGTTGTAGTTTTGTGGTGAGAGGTGTCACTAACTATAGTTCCTTATGGGATTTCTTGATAATTTTCAGTCTTTTGTGAATTTCAGGGTTTTTTCTAGGTCCCATACTTAATTAGTGTAGACCCAGAACTAGAGCTGCTTTCTCAACTTACTAATCTAATATCTTTCTAGTACACCATAAAACCACACTAACTGGATTCTGAGCTGAACTTCAGTGTTAAAAAAATGAAATTATCTTTAAAAAAAAGACAGGAAACATTAAGAAAGTGTGGCATGACCATTTTTTTTATTCATGAAAAGAAATGAATTGCCACAGTTTTTTTATGCATCTCCATTGTGATCAGTTCACAGCATAGAATTGTTTTTGTAATTCTTTTTTTTTTTAAATTCAAAGTATATATTCTAAGTATATATCAAGATATATACTTAGTCACAGATATCTTTTCCTTTGTAAAACTTTATTGTATTGCTGTTAGTTGTTTACAGACTATTTTGCCAAAAGCAACAATTTTAACTAATAAAAGATTATCATACTACAGTGCATAAAATATTGAATTAATAGAGATAAATATGAATGAATTAAAAACATCATTATTACCTATTTTCTTGAAAGTAACTGAATAGATCGATTGTTTTAGTTGTGTTTTTCTTCTAGGGCCTAAAACTGAACTATCTAGGTTCCAAGCTAGTATTGTAATCCAGTATTAAATAACTTCCATTTTGAAATCTTAGGGATAGTAGAAACTTTCTTTAACAACACATTTTGTTGCCTGGAAACATTTACTAAGAGAATGAATTTGAGCCCATTTAGACGATTAAAAGATAATTTAACAGACTTTGTTTTGTCTTTTAGTGAAAATGCCTCGTGTGAAAACATCACAATCTGCAAAAAAAGGTCCAGCACGGAGAAGGCTAGCAGAACAGTTTTCAGTAGGGGAAGTTTTAATTGACCTGACCAAAAAGGAATGGAAAGTAGGACAACCCATTGGCCAAGGTGGTTTTGGATGCATATATCTTGGTAAGTTTATGGTCTCAAATATATAAATATGTGTGTATGTTTGTACATATGCATGCATACATAGGTACACATACATACACATCCTAAATAATTTTTTTCCTTATCAATTGGTATTCCAGAAAGTGGAGCCGTTACAGAATATGGCAAACAACTGTGAGTTTACATTGAAATAGGTGTCTCTACAGTGGAGACTGTTTAATTCATTGAGATATAAAAGTTTTTCTGTGCTATTTTGTCGTCTGTGAGATCAGTGACTTCAGGGTAAACATAATCTTACAGTATGATTGGTATCATATAAAGAAAACAAAGAAGTGATATAATTAAAAGCAGTGAAGTGTGGAGATGGTCTAATGTTTTTTAAGGATCCTGAAGAGACCTCTTGTGGAACCCTTGGACTCTGCGGATTAAAAACTTTTTTTAAAATGTTCTTAATCCGATTGCTTCAAATATTGTCTGCTTTACCAAGGGTATTTGGTAGTAATAATGACATTAATACTTCTTTTTGTACACAAAATGCTTTCCTCACAGCCAATGAGGTAGGTAGTGCAAGTCAGTCAACAAGCATTTACTAAGAGACTATATATAAGTCATTCCCAAAATAAATGATAAATGGTAAATGGTGGGCAGTTTTCAGATGAAGAAATTAAAGCTATCTATAGTCATATGGAAAAATGCTCTAAATCACTGTTGTTTGGAGAAATACAAATCAAAACAACTCTGAGGTACTACATCACACCTATCAGATTGGGTTACATGACAAAACAGGAAAATGATAAATGTTGGAGAAGATGTGGGAAAATTGGAACGTTAATGCATTGTTGGTGGAGTTGTGAACTGATCCAACCATTTTGGAGAGCAATTTGGAACTGTGCCCAAAGGGCTATAAAAATGTGCATACCCTTTGACCCAGAATAAAGCACTTCTAGGGCTGCATCCCAAAGACATCATACAAATGGGAAAAGGACCCACATATACAAAAATATTTATAGCAGCTGTTTCTGTGGTGGCAAAGAATTGGAAATTGAGGGGATGCCCATCAATTGGAGAGTGATTGAACAAGTTGTAGTATATTAATGTAATGAACTACTATTGTAATATAAGAAATGATGAGCAGGTGGACTTCAGAAAAACCTGGAAAGACTTACATGGACTGATGCTGAGTGAAGTGAGCAGAACCAGAAGAACATTGTTCACAGTGACAGCCACATTGTGCGATTATTAACTTTGATAGACTTAGCTCTTCTCAGCAATGCAAGGATCTAGGAAGCCTCCAAAAGTCTCATGATGGAAAATGCTTTCCATATCCAGAGAAAGAACTATGGAGTTGGAATGCAGATTGAAGCATACTATATGCTTTTTTCCCCTCTTCTCTTCTGTTTTGTTTTGTTTCTTCTTTCTTGTGGTTCCTCCTATTGGTTCTAATTCTTCTTTACGACATGACTAATGTGAAAATATGTTTAATAGGAATGTATATGTAGAGCCTATATCAGATTGCACGCCATTTTGGGGAGGGAAGAGGAGAAAATTTAAAACTCAAAAGCTTATGAAAGTGAATGTTGAAAACTATCAATAAATTAATATAAAAAAAGAGACTGTATTCTAAGCACTCTGCTAAACTCTAAAGATAAGAAGACAAAATTGAAACAATCCCTAACCTCAAAAAGCTTTTATTTAATCGGGGAAGAAATGGAGGAGAGGTATAAAAGTATAGCTAGTGGTAATGGTTGAATCTAGTGAGCAGTTTCAGATGAGTGATGGATTCAGAAGCTGGATTGCAGAGGGTTAAGAAAAGAGTTGAAAGGAGAGAAGTGAAGGCAGTAAGTGCAGATGGCTTTTTCAAGGAGTTTGGCTGAGAAAAGGATTAGGAATATAGGTCCCTAATGGGCATGGTAGGATATTTCTCTTCCTGATTTTCCTCTTAACATAATCTGAATTTTCTACAGACTTTAAGAACTTGATTAGTACCTTCATATAAGAAATGTCTGATTTTCCCCTAATCAACTTAGTAGTTACCAATTTTGTGTCTGCTTTGAAGGGGGCAAAGATACCCCCAGTTGATCTATCTAGCTCTTTGAAAGAGGAACATGATTCAAGAAGAATTTTCAACAACTTGATTCCATATGAAGGTTTAATGAGGACAAAGACATATCAGCCAGGTAGATTTGCTTTAATTGTCTTCACAAGGGTTAGGATAAATGATATGTCTCCTGCAAGAGGATATTTGCTCTGAAGCAGGGGTTCCTGTTTTTTGTCATGGACCCCATTGTAAGTAAGGTGAAGTGTGTGTGGACTTCTCAGAATAATGCTTTCAAATGCATAATGTACATTGAATTACAAAGGAGACCAATTATATTGAACTACAGTTATCAAAATATGAAAAAAAAAAACCCTCCTGGACCCCAGGTTAGAAAGCCCTACTCTAAAGATAGTATTGCCCCTTTCAATTTTATTTAGGTAATATTGGCCTGAGTAGAGTCAAATCAGTAAACTGAAAGTTAGGAGGTTGTACTTTTCCTAGTTTGTTACCTTTGTCACATCAGGTGACCTCTGTTCATGCTAGCTCTTTTGTAATATTTGTCATCTGAAAGGATGTAAAATATTTTAATGTTTAGACGTACTATGAAATATTTTAGAAATCTAGAGTCAGTTCTAGATAAACATTTCTTCAACCTTAGTTAATGAGCCTGGAGGGGGAGATATGATTCTACAAAATTCATTCTTGGGTACTTTTTTCTCATGCCCCTCTCCCTCAGCCAAGTTTGTATTATCACTTTGTGCAAGTATTTCAACTTCATATTGTCTGTCTTTTATAAACTAAATCCTTTGTGTGTGTGTGTGTGTGTGTGTGTGTGTGTGTTTTGTTTTTTAAAATCTGACCATGTTTTCTTCATCACTTAAACACTATCTAAGTGACATGTTTCCTGGGGCTATGCCTTAAGGAGCTCAGACCTCTCCCATCTGTCCATTTCAACCATCTTTGGGACTAAAAAGCTCCCTCTTTGGTGTGGAGAGTGAATGATACAGTCTTCTTTGGACTGTTACTTCTTAAATGATGGAAAGTGTTTGCTTATATGTCATATGGGTAGTCTTACTATTATTATTATTACTCTTTCGAAGGCTATTTCTATAAGAAATAAAATGACAGAGACTTTTCCTAAAATTTCTGTAGTTGACAGGAGAAGAGAATTTAAGATTTGGAATAAGCATCTTGAAGTATTTGATTTTGAAAGAGGGATAAAGTTATATAGACCTTAATGTGTATCTGTTAATAGCATCTTCTATTAAAGGTTATACCTTTTATTCTGATATGATATATTTAATTTTTTTTAACAGCTGATACTAATTCTTCAAAGTCGGTTGGCAGAGATGCCCCTTGTGTTATAAAAGTGGTAAGAAAATATTTTAATTGATTTATTCTTTTCTGGTCATTTAGTAATTGATATGTTTTGTGAAATAGTTTTAAATAAATTGGAATTAATTTAACTATAAAATTATATATTGAGTAGTATGTATCATAAATGTCTCCTGAGATAAAAAATAGACCTTTATAGTTTTAAGTAACAAATTTCAAAAGTCTCTCCCACCTCTTAAATTAGATTACTGCCATTAAAAAGTCTTAAGCCTAAGATGAAAGGAATGTAGTTAGTATATTAGAAATTGTTAGTTCTTTTTCCTTTAGCCCTTTGCAAAAGAAGAGAAGCTCTTTTAAATTTAGTTCAACAAAGCGGAAACAATGAAAAAATTTGGATTAGAACTTTATCATATTTCATGTTGTATATGCTTATTATCTTCCTTATTCTTTTTCTTTTTAGTGCCTCTCTCAAAGACTTTTAAAAAATTTGGTAGATTTATTTAATTTATAATTATTATGGCCTCATTAAATCGTTTTTGGGATGACTATGTGGAAATAATTTGCTTTTGATAACTATTAGCATTTTTAGTAGGTTTTGAATGCATTCAGAGAACATTTTGAACTGCCAGTAATGTATTTTACCCACTAAAATCTAAATTAAATTTTGTTAACTGTTATTTGATACTTACTTAATTCTCAACATTTGCAAGCCTATGGTTGTGAAAGCTTTCCCTGTTTCTCACCCTTCTATTTATGTAAAGAATAGCCTGATTTATAGAAACATTGACTCTCAGATTTGTAAAGGAACTCAGAAGCTATCTAATCCAAACTGTACTTGAAAAGGACTCCCATTTCACTTCTGACAAACAGTTGTTCAGCATTCACTTGAAGACCTTTAGTGATGGGAAATACCTATATCAAAGTGCCTATTTCACTTTTGAATTTCTCTAATTAGGAAGTTTTTTCTTAGATCAAACCAGAAGCTGCATCTTTGACCCTTTCGCCCGCTGCTTCTAGTTCCATCCTGGGGATGAGTAAAAAAAGTGATCTCTTCCATATGTTAGATTTTTTTTATCAATTGAAAATAGTTATCATTGTTCCCTTAATCTTTGTATGACATGTTCAGTAGTCCTCCACCCTCCTGTATGTGCGCTAGTTTGTTTATGTCTTTATAATGTGGCAGAATGAGAATGATTTAAGATGCATGTCAACTAAATTTTTTAAAAGAACCAATTCAAATTAAAACAGGATAGTTATTTTAGCAAGCTAACATCCTTTTCATAACCATATATCTGTTTAACTTTGCAGGGGAAAAAGATTGGTGTTGCTGAATTTTATAGCTAAACTCCTTTTTGGTGTGATTTTAAAAATGATCACAAACCAGTTAATTTCCAAGTTTTAAACAGACAATATTTACTTCACAATATTTCACTGATGAAACTGACCCTTATTCTAAAATAGACTCTGATACCTGCTGTTCATTTAACTCGGTTTTTGTTACTCCCAACTCTGCTTATCGTATATGACTCCTTTCAACCTAACAAGCCCTAGAATCTATCTCCTACATTATAAATAGGAGTCAATGAAAACATATCAATAAAATGATTTTATTTTGCAGCTGATTTTGCTGGGATACAAATATTCCATATATTTAAAAACACATGTTATCACTTGTAGATTGGTGTCTTTGAAAGCAGGTGCCATATCTTTCATCTCTGTTTCTTCTTAGTACTTAGTACAGACCTACATTGTACATAGTACTAAATACATTTCTTATTTACTATCAGAACATAGAAAGACCATGTGAATTAGGGAAATGAAGCTCACTACACTTTAGATGTACGAAGTTACAGAATTCCATTCTTTAAAGAATTGGTTCTGTGTTAGCATACTGCTTTGTTTCATGAATGTGCTGAAAAACGTACCTGTGATAATGATTGTGAAAGCTGCTTTTTCAAGAAGTAATCCTAGTACTGAATATCTTATGGCCTCTTCATACAAGTGGTCTTCATAAATATATGCCATCATAAAAAAAATGTCTATTCACACATAAACAGATCAGTTTTTCTGAAACAAGCATAAAATATCTGGAGGTACACATGTCTGTTTCCAAATAAGTAGGAAGTGGTTCTTCTGGTATGTCAGTAGCTTTGCCTATGAAAGTTGAATTGCTTTGGAGAGAAAAAAATTCTTGCTTTAGCAGACTTCTTGAAAAATTTTCAAATATCTAATAAAATTGGTATGGTATTTTGTATACTATTTTTATTTGTAGTTTGATTAGGAATTGGGTATTAAAGAATTGTCGTAATCAATGATGAACTCAGATGGTTATATTCCCCTAACCATGAAGTGTTTTCAATCAGAGATTAGTTCTTCTGTCAAGAGGATTTCCTGCTTTGTGTGGAAGATTGGACTAAGACTAAGGTCTTTGTCAGCCCAAGATTCCATAAAATGCCTTGAAGATCATTTTATTTTAACAAGAATATATGAGTAGGTGTTAGTTGTCTTGGGTAATCTGAGTAAATAGGAGGAGGTGAGTACTGTGAGGAAAGGCAGCAAGTTTTTTTTTTATCCTAACATTAGATAAAACTTCTGACTTTGTTAACTTTGACTTTAGCAGAGGAATATGAGTATAAGTTGGAGCTATTTATAAAATGTCCATTTCTTACTGAAATTCTATTGAGATTAACGGGTGTGTCTCTCAGTTTAAATAAGACCAGGGAAAGTTTTATGAAGGGGATATAAATAGGCACATTACAACAAATGTTTATCCAGCCTGTGAGGTACATAGTTTAGATAAGACTAGGTCCCTACCTTTAGGGGGTATCTCATAGAGGGACAAAATACTAACTTAGATTATCAGATAGGATATGCAATGTTATATGATAAATGCTTTATGTAGTAGTTTATGATGAACTCTTTACTTTATGGAAATACCAAACAGCTCATGTTATTCCCAGCATCAAAATAGGCAAGATTTAGTATAGAAAGAGGGGCTTCTTTGCCAGTTTGCAAATAGGTATGTTTCTGTTCTTCTCTGCAAATGGTCTGTGATGTATGCAATGGTTGTGTTAGGTCTTGAAAAAGTTTTCATAATTGTCACCACAAGTATGATTTTGAGCCTATTCATGAAACACAACAATGCTCTTTCATGTGTGTTTTGCAAAGTACAACTTTATAAGTAGAATTGATTTTTAGATTTGGACTGACCTTAGAAGTCATCTAGTCCAACTCTCTTATTTTACAAATGAAGAAACTGAATACCAGAGAGGGAAACTTACTTGCTCAGGTCACACAGATAAGTGGCAGATTTGGCACTTGAACCTTGCGTCTTGAATGCTTAATTCCAAGTCCAAATTATTTCTGCTATGCCATCTACCGCCATAAACTTTTAAGTGCCAACCTCTGATTCACTAAGGTAGCACATAGTTCTTCAGTAGTGATTCATTTATTCATCAAAAATTTATTAAGCACTGAAGTCCTACTCTGATGTCTCATTGTGTTTTAGAAATGATAATGGAATCTTAAAAGCTATGCCAGCAGAATAGGAACTTTGATGGGTCCTATAAGCTGGAAAATCTTGATGTGGGCCTGGTGAAAGTAGATCTGTTTTCCAAGGATCAGCCTAGCTATGTTTAGTTGTCTGTAGGATGATAACTTTGGAGGGGGCATAACAGCTCTTGAAAACCATCTGCTAAATTATAGGGGTTTGTAGTGATGGTTAAAGGGCACACTATTTTAAAATCATAGATTCTTGAAGAATTGAAATATGATGATGTACTGTACTAGGGCATTATGGAAGATGCGGAGTAAATAAGGAAAAGTTCTTATACTTTAAGGGGACAGTCAGTTCTCCTATAAGTTGATATGTGTTCCCAAAAAGTATTGAACTAACATGGTCATGCAATAAAAGACACAGCTTTTGGGAAAATAGGATTAGAGACACAACACTTAAAAACTTTATCAGTGACACGTTAAAAAAAGATAGGAACCTAATAAAATGGTAGCATAATTTTATACATGTTAAATGGTTAAGGAATACATAAATTACTGCAATTAAACAGTGGATGCCTCTGGGGTTGGGCTGCTTTTTTGGCCTTCTCTAGAGCAGGACACCACTTTGGCAGAGGCCAAGGTGAAGGGAGTGGTGAGGACCAACTCTTCTCCATTACAGCCCCTACTGTACCAGAAGATATACAACAAATATGGCACTTTGCCTTGATAAAGAGCTGAAGTTTGCTTGTGGTATAGAATGTCGGAAGGTATTGCATCTTGTGACTTATGTTGAATTGTTGCATTTTTCTATGTTTTCTCACTGTTTTTCATTGAAGAAGTAACCACAGAAGCAAACTCATTCACATTTTGCTTTGGAACAAATGAAGTTTTGAAAAATACCCATTATAGCAGAGCTAATTTATACAAATTATAACTTACATAAGACAAATGTAATGTGTTATGAGGTCATGTGAGAGCTAACTTTAGGTTGGGGGATTATCAGAGAAGGTTTTATAGAAGAGGTAGTAGTTAAATTGAGTTTTAAAAAATAGAAGGTTATCAGTAGTAGTTGCTGTTCAGTCATTCATTTATGTCCAACTTTTAGTGACTTTGGGGTTTTTCTTGGCAAAAGATATTGGAGTTGCCATTTCCTTCTCCAGTTTGTTTTACAGATAAGAAAACTGAGGCAAACAGGGCTAAGGGACTTGTTCAGAATCACATAGCTAATAAGTGTCTGAGGCTGGATTTGAACTCAGATCCTCCTGACTCTGGGCCTGGCACCACCTACCTGCCCTTGTCAATAGTTAGAATTGGGGAAAAGGCATTTCAAATCTAGGGAATAGAATAATAAGCAAAGTTTAAAAAAAAGAGGAAAACAATGGGATATGTTTAGGAGGCAAATAATAATCCAGTTTCATTGGAGTTCAGAATACATAAGGGGAAGTACTACAAGATATGACTAGAAGGGTAAATTGCAGCCAGATTGTGGAAAGTCTTATATGCCAGACTAAGGGGCCTTAGTAGGCATAGGGGAGCCATTGA